TCTTTATTAAGACAGAAGATAGTTATAAAGGAATGCTGTTATGGGACAGTGTATATCATCCAATTATCGATAAAATTTGGACTACTACAAATGTCTCAGAATTTTTCTAGTTTTTTTACTTTATACTGTGTAGAATTGAGTAATACATAGATACTATTATAATTTTATTTAAACAAACCTTTTTCCTCTGAAGGAAGGTCTTCGTACAGAGTTGGTATTGGAGTTTTCTTCTCGTCAGATACATCGTTGTCTTCTTTTTTCGTTCTGTCGGGCACTTGCAATTTCTGACCCGGGAAAATGTATGGAGTTGCCAAACGATTCAACTTTGTCAGCTCCGAAGGTGTTGTATCAAATCTAGCAGCTACTGAAGTTAACGTATCTCTATCTGATACCTTTAAAAGTAAAGAGAAACGTTTTATATTTAATTATATTATTTTCTTCCGTTTTTAGCGCTAGTCAATTTGATTATTAATTGAGAATTTTAATCCTGGATTTTTGGAAATTAAAAAATCGCCCCAAAGAATGTCATAAAATGTTCACAGAGGGTGTTGTTAAAGTCCACTTTTACCACTAAATAATTAATCTTATCACAATACTATAGTAATAGTAAAACTACTAAATTTTAAATTAGATCATATTACTATATTTTGAATATTTAAGTATTTAATTTTCCAACATTCGGACTGAAAATATTTTCTCCTTCATGATATATGAACGAAAAGAACGAAAACTTACAATGTACGTAATAGTTGGATCTGGCGGTTCCTTTTTGCTTTCCCTAACGGTTGGCAATTCACCATCTGTAAAAAATATAATAAGCACAAACTCTTATTTTATATTTCGTGTACATTAAAAGTAACAGCCGGTTTAATTACGAACGCGCGCAAAGTATGTACGTGACCATTTTCCGCAATTTAACTTTCAACCAACTGGAATTGAACAAAGTTTATTGTGTAAAACATAAACAATAGAATAATAAAGTGCGAAAAATATTACTTATTTAAATTTGGAAAAATATTTAAATGAGTTAACATACGTTTTGCACAAATCGTGCATACTATTTCGTTTATAAACAAGTTTCTTAAAAAAGCGAACTTATTAGTCCAATTATGAACATAAACTAATTCTTGTATCCTTCGGGAACAGTACCTTTTTCTGAAAATGTCTTTTTCTGTACCCATAACGACGTGCCAACAAAATTTCATGAAGATCGAAATAGACCACATAAAACTAATTTTTTTCTATCCCTCTGCAAATTTTTTTTTTTCGGGATACCCTATGTACTTTTCTGTTCCCTTGACAATGTTCGTACAAAATTTCATAATGATCGGTTGAGTAGTTAAGACAGGAAAAGGCAACAAACAAACAAACACATTCGCATTTATATTAGTTAGGATGTACTACTTGTCTAAAATTGACAATAAGTTCTAGTATAAATGCTTGACGTTATCCAATACGGAACCAAATCGAATATATGTTTAATTAGGTTACTACTATTGTTTTCCATATAAGAAGCTACAAAACCCATCGATCAGACAATGCTGATGGCTACTATTGCTATGTACTCCTTTAGAAATTAGCGTCTGTTAATTTGAATAAGTTTTTCGTTTTTGCCTTTCAAATGAACGAAACGTATGTGATGTAAGTTATTAAAATAATACAAAAATCGGTATTTAAAACAAACAACGTAGAGTGCAATAAATAATAGTTATCTCTACTTTTTTTCTTTATATGTTATCAAATTCCAGCGATAATATTAAATAATAAACATGCTTATCTCATTTCGGAAAACAAAAATCCTTAAACTTTATTTACATTAAAAATATGTCACGGAAAGTAAGCAAACGTGGAAAACGAAAGCTGTATTTTTTACCTTTTTCTTCTGCTTGTTCTTTGATATGAAGACCCTCTAAACTAAAAGGATTTAGGAGGCCATGGTCTACACTCTTACTCCTGGAAAAAAAGAGGCATTAACAAAAATAACGAATAGGTACATGTATTTATGTAATTATTGCTACTTTTTATGAAACTTTTAGGAAATAAAATAAGAAACTCAATATTCTAGTCGTTATAACAATACTGAAAATATTATGCAGGACTTTTAGATCAGGGCTTTAGGGTGCCTGTAAATATCTTGAAATAGTTTTAGCGCTAAAATGGATAATGTGCCAAGGATTGCTAACATGGGGTGTTTTCTCAACTTGGTGCATTTCTTGGAAGTTACCTTTATTATTTCGAGCATTTCGGAACTAAATTTTTCAAAGTTTTAGACAAAGCTTATAAAAGCACAACTGAACTTATACAAACAGTAAGCTGTTTCCTATTGCATTTGGGATTGAGCCGACAATGTTAGGAATTTTTATCTAGCACTCACGCCACCCACTCTTTCCCTAGCTAACCCGTTGAAGGCACGTAATTTCAGATGAATAATTACAGAGGATAAGACAATACTAAGTAATTACTACGATATAAAATATATTAGATATCTCCATCGATAGATAAAAAAGAGATTACGACTTGTTTAATTATAATGTTGATTTAGATATATAGCTTACACTTTCATTCGAAATAAAAGAATAAAAAATCGGATACTTGCTAGAAGATAAAATTCTGTTTGTGATTACTTTCTTTAATCCCTACGCAAGCAGTTTTAGGTATACGAGGGTGGATTGATAAGTTTCCGGCCTGACCAAGAAAAACAAGGTTTTTAAAAATTTTTTTTTTTATTTCTCAACATAATCTCCTCCAAGGCTGATACATTTCTCATAGCGGTGTTCCAGTCTATTAATGCCATCTCTATAGACTGATTCGTCAAGCTCCTCAAAATAACCATTTACAGCTTCGATTACTTCTTCATTGTCCGCAAATCTCTTACCGCCAAGCC